AACGAAGTAAGTTGCCTATTGCTATTAAGTAGAAGGCTTCCTTTGATCGTGTGAAAATACATCAGAATTGAGAGGGAAGGAACAAAGAGAGTCTCTCAAAGTTTAACTCAAGGAGTTAAGTCCATTGACTTAATGTTGGAGAGGCCTGAGAGTTGTCAGTCAGCTGCCTATAAAGTGATTTGGTAGAATGAAATTTGCAGTTGACATTCAACAGTCCTTTTGTTAATTGAACTTTCTGGTATATAGCTTATCTCTCTGATTCAGATTTATTTCTTAAAGTAAATTTTGTTCTTTATTATGAAATATAAATTCAATGTCTAAAACTTAGTAAATGTAGACAAATGATAGTATCCATGATCACACACCCTGGAGATCATCACTGTTAACCTGGTTGCCTAATAAACATGGGTACATTTAGGACTCTGATCTCTGTCCCTTTGCTGGATCCTCAGCACATACAATAGTGCCTGGAACAGTGCTCAATAAATAATTATTGAGTGAATCAGTTAAGACGTGTATTAAATATTTTTCTTTACATTCACTATTCTCTAGAATAAGAGTATTCTCCTCCCTTTGATCCTTATGGATCCTCAAAAGTAAAAATATATATTTAAAATTTTTTATTATACTTTCTTGACTGATGGTCTGAATTGGTAAGTATTTCTTGGATATACTTTAATTTTTGACTATCCTTCCTAAATGCAAAACTGAACACAGACTTTAAAAGGGGCTGACCAAGCAGAATATAGAAGAGGGCAACTTTTCAGATCATACTTCCTATATCCACTTAGCAATCTGAGCATCTTCCTAAATTTTAAGTTAGCAAAACTGGGTAGCTGCTGTTTCTCTTTTCTCACATCATTTTTTTTTTTTTGCCTTTTTTGTTGTTGTTCTCAGTGCATGTCTATTTGTTTTTTCCTCACTGAGACGTTTATGCTTATCAAATTTCATGTTACTTTCCATTATACCATTTCTAATTTAGTAACCAACAATTAAACAGAAGTACCTTGGTTTTATATCTTCCAAAATTGAAAATGCCTCTGCTTTAATTCAATTTAGAGCTTGCCTATAAATCACCTGAGACAAATGGTTGTGCTGCTTTCAACTGAGTCACATAGCTTGCGCTCTGTGTATACATTGGTAAGTTTGGGGTAGAAAGAAAAGAAGCAAATCTCATTACATAAAAGTCAAAACTAAATAAATTACATAAGAATAATTATGTATTTTAGTAATTTTGAAATTGAGTGACTTTGTACTGTGCCAACTTAGCTAAGCCAGAAACGAGTCTTCCAGAATTCCCTTCTCTGTGTGGGTCTGAGTTCCGCTTTGCTGTAGAGAAATTTGCATTAAGACCTGAAATTCAGACGCGAGGAGCAGCCATAATTATCCTCAGGAGGTCAAGTGAAAGACCCAGCGCTATTACAGCTGATACATGTGGTTCCTGATCTGCTGGCTCATCTTGTTGGTGAAGGGCAGCAGCCGGGTCTGTGGTTCCTCCAGCTCCAGCCAGATTGCTCTTTCAGCATCTACAAATCTCCAGCTAGGGATATGTGAGAGGTGCAAACTTATTCTGCAAGCTGCCCATCTGACCAAGGTTGGAAACCAAGATAGGCAGACCCAGGTTCCAGTTTGTCCTCGTGGGTTCTGGTTTGCCATAACAAATCCGATTTTCCTCAACAATTCCAGTTTGTCCTCTTGTGTCCACTTGACTCTTGCTTCCCCCACCTCATGTCTGCCTTTCCTTCCCAACTGGGTAACAACAAGATTTATTATCTCACAGTTTCTGTGAGTCAGGAACTTGGGAGTTGTTTATCTGGCTCCTCTGGCTCGTGGCCTCTCACTCAAGATGTTGGCCAGGGCTCCAGTTTTATCTGGAGGCCCACCTGCTGGAGGACTGAAGCTCCCACCTGTGGTTGTTGGCAGGACTCAGCTCACCACGTGTTATGGGACAGAGGGCCTCAGTTCCTCACTGGCTGTCAGCCGGAGGTTCCCTCAGATATTTGCCACATGGGCCTCTCCATAGAAAAGTCACATGATGGCAAGTGGCTTCCATCAGAGCAAGCAAATGAGAGACCGAGAGAGGGTAAGTAGGACAGAAGCAGAGTAGCTTTGTAACCTAGTTTCAGCAGTGATATCCGATCACTTTTATTATGTTCCACCAGAGGCCTGGTGCAGGAAATTTGTGCATGGGGAGGGAGGGGTCCCTCAGCCTGGCCTGCACCCTCTCGCAACCCGGGACCCCTCGGGGAATGTTCGACTGCTGGTTTAGGCCCAATCCCACAGTTGGACATCCCTCTCGCAATCTGGGACCACTGGCTCCTCACTGCTTGCCTGCCTGCCTGCCTAATCACCACTAACCACTCTGCCTGCCTCCCTCATCACCCCTAACCATTCGCCTGCCTGCCTGCCTGATCACCCCAACCACTCACCTGCCTGCCTGATTGCCCCTAACCACCTCTGCCTGCCTGCCTGATTGCCCCTAACCACCTCTGCTTGCCTGCCTGATGCCCCTGCTTGCCTGCCTGCCTCATCACCCCTAACCACTCTGCCTGCCTGCCTCATTGCCCCTAACCACTCTGCCTGGCTTCCTGATTGCCCCTAACTGCTCACATGCCTGCCTGATTGCCTCTAACTGCCTCTGCCTGCCTGCCTGATCACCCCTAACTGCCTCTGCCTCAGCCCCCACCACCACGGCTTCATCCGGAAGGATGTCTGGAATGACGTCTGGAAGGTCGTTCAGCTGTCTGGTCTAATTAGTATATTATACTTTTATTATTATAGATTTCTTAAAGGGTAGTCATTAGGGCCAGTCAGCACTCAAGGAGAGGAGATTATAAAAGGGCATGAATACCATAAGCAGGGATCATGGAAGCCTACCACACCCTTTCAAACAGGCAAACCCCTTCTTGAGCATCTTAAGCATGTGCTATGCATACCCTTTAAAAAAAAATTAAGGCAACTGAGAATTGTTTTTCCCACAGCATCTTCACAGAAAAGTTTTGTGAGTGTAGCTTTTTTTTACTAATGAAGTGAATCATGAATTCATACACAGGAAACTCACAAAGTTTTTAAAGGAAATGTATCAGCTTAGAATTAAGGGACAGAATTAGAAGAGGCATCTCTACCACCAAATATCTACAGGCAGAAAACAGGCTAAGAAGTCTATTCAGTTATAAATATCAACCATATCTTATAAAAAAAAAAAGTAACAATGACCCAGAGGGCAGAACCAAGATTCTACAAGGTGGAGTTCAGAGCTATGGAGAATAACTCACAGGGAGTAGGACTGAGCCCTAAGAGAGAAATGGTAACATGTATCACACCACATTTTAGAATTCTATGGACCAATGACCACTTTGTGCCTCTCATCTCCCCCTTCACAAATGCAAGGATCTGTCGTGGTTATCCTTTGATCGTCTCCCCATTAAATGTTGTGTGAGGTTAGACGACTTGTTTACTTAGTTCACAGCCTTTCAGATCTAAAAGGACATATCCAGGGAATTATACCTTTGAAGCCTTATCCACACCTGAATGGATTTATATGACAAGTTCCTGGACCCTGATGTATAATGAGATATTTTTAAGGAGGCTCTATGGAGGGAATGAATTTATTTTGCATATGGCAGTAATACAAATAATTGGTGGCCAGAAAGTGGGCTGTGTCAGTTTTAGGATTTGCTTGCTAATTCTTTGGGGAAACTCTCCTCATTAACAAATGGAGTCTCTGTCCCCTCCCCTCAAATCTGGGTGGGCTTGTGTTTCAACAACAGAATAGGACAGAAGTGATGTTAGGCGACTCTAAGGCTGGGTCATAAAGGATAATACAGCTTCTCCTTTTTATGGTTTGAATACTTGCTCTTGGAGCTCTAAGCTACCACAAAAAGAGTCTGACTAATTTAAGGACAGCATGCTGGGGGGAATCTTAGCCATGGAGAGAACATGTATAGGCACCCTAGTCAGCTGTTCCAGTCTTTGAATAGTCCCAGCCTGGGTTCCAGATATATAGGTAAACAAGCCTTCAGGTGTTTCTAGTCCCAGCCATTGAGTTACCTGTCTTTGAGTCTTTTCACCTGATGCCCCAATTACTCTGGCACAGAGATAAGCCATCCTTGCCATGTGCTGTGCAAATTTCTGACACAGAGAATCTAGAAGAATAATTAAATAATTGTTCTAGGTGACTAAGTTGTAGGGTAATTTGCTACACAGCCATAGTAACTGGAATGGAACCATGTAAAAGCATCACAGCTAAAGTGTGAATGAAATGCATATTTGAGGTCTATGTTTAGCTTTGAGAGTAGTCAACAGTCAGTGTGTTTATATTTTAGAATATTATGCAAATGAGATAATAGATAATATTCTTAGTACAATGCCTAGCAATAAAATGCATGGATTTATTATTATGCCAAAAATTAAATATATTTACTTCTAAATGGTTATATTTAATGACCTATAAGTACTTAGATGCTGGCCAATGTTTTAAAGTTTTCCATCTACATCTTGAAGTTACAGATGAATAAAGATGTGGTTTGCTTTTCAAAGTCACACAAATCTGAACAAAGCTAGAATTCAAACTCAGATCTTTCTGATACCAGATCTCTTACTTTTCACCACTATATTCTCCTCCCTCTAGACATTTTAAATTTAGAGAAAATTATGAAAAACTGACCCCACAGAGGAGAAGCTTAAGAATAAAAAATTAACTCTGCACCTAGAAAACAGAGATTAAGAGTGATTTAACCATTGGGAATATAATGAGTTATATATAGAAGGATCACTTTCTGTATGTCCTAAGAAAAAAAGAAATATATATATCCTTAATTCATAAATAAATAAAATTTAAATATTTAGCAAGCTCTTAATCAAGCATTCCATTTGAGTAAGGGTTAACTCTTCATGTTATGCACTACAGTTTGATCAACCATCTTTACTTCATGCTTTAATAGAAAAAGAAAAGGTTGATATTGGATTTAATTGACATAATTGTGCACAAAGATAAATGTGATATCTAAGGTTCAGGACTAAATGATTAAGACCCTTTTAATTCTAATAGAGATAGTAAATAGTATCAGTAGCTCCCATCTACGTAGCATTGATTATTTTACAGGTATCAGCAAAGAACTCTCTAGATATCTTATTTAATCCCCCAAACAAACCTCTAGTGTAGGTATTACTTTACTGTGCCTTTTTCTACAGGTTAGAAAGCTAGTACTCAAAGAAATGAAGTCATTTTCCCCCAAGGCTGTCCAGCTAGGAAATAGTGGAATTGGGATTATATTTTGGTTCAATCTCTCATTTCTTCATCTTTCTAAAACACAATAAAATCACACGTTAATATTACATATTGATATGGCCAGTCACAGGCAAAATACCTGTAGTAGTCTAAGTCGGTTTTTATTTGTATATATGTAGGTCTTTCTTGAATTACAACTCTATATCTCCTTTGAGAATATCATTGCTATTATAACTGTACAATTTTAATATCCACCCAATACATAAATTACCTACATTTAGGTGGGTAATTTAAAAATATATACATGGTAAAACATACAGTGCTTACAAACCAAATGCAAATAAAAATCTTTTAAAAATCTTAGAAATTCATTTAAGCAGGTTATGTCAATCCTATTAAAAATGGTTTTTCTATGTACAATACATAGTCTTTAAAAATACTATTCCAGGAAACAAAACTTCTTTGGTTCAGCAAAAGGATTCTAAATGTGGAAATTCAATTTGTTAAGAATGCACCTTCCTGGGTTGGACCTCTCTTATCTGGTTTATTCCTTCAGGAAGCATGTAGCTGACTTTCTTTGAATGAAGAAAATATGGGTGGGGTGTGGGTAGAGGCTGCTTTTCCCTTGGGACATTTGCATATAAAAATATAATCAGACACTTGAATAATGCAATACCTTAGCCCGTTATTTCACTCTGCCAGATCAAAAAGATACAGAGAAAGTCTGCTTCCTATCCATTTTGGAAGGAGGGCGAGGAAGTGATCATGGTTGATACACAGACACTTTTACTAGTAAAGAACTTAGGTACTGGCTTCCAAGGCTATTGAAGCTACTCTCTTCACTATTTGGAAGACTGCATGGAGGAGGCGAGAGGAGGACAGAAGCTAGAATACGCTCCCGCTTTTACAGTCCCATCACTTCCTCGGCAGCTTGTCTGCCTTAACAATCTACAATTATAAACACATCATGACTCAGATGTCTTTGCAAAGAGTTAACGCAGCAATGATGACAGTGCATCAACATTGACTAATGGCATCTTCATTAAAAATTAACTCTGGTTAGTCTATACTCTTGGCTTATTAATAGCAACAATCACAGAACTGCCAAAAATATCTCAGAGTTTCAAAGACTCAGCAACCTAACCTATCAGACTTTATTCTTCTCCATATTTCATGGGAAGGAAAAGCCTTCACAATTTTGTTCCTGCATGATTTCTACTTTGATTATATAAAAAAAAAAAAAACAACTTAGTCTGTAAGGTAAAACCTTTCCAAAAGCCCATCACTTAACTGCACATTAAAACCACCTTTAACAAAGTTTTGGAAAGTGTCTGAGGTATCACAGCTGGTCACAGGAGAATGGAAAATATTTTTTTGCTTTTTTTTTTTAAGTTTCCCCAATGAAATATAATTACCTTGTTGGATTAATTAACTCACTTATTTTAGGGAGCGGTACCACTGACTAAATACTCAAACTTGCCTTTCCCTAGACTAATATCAGAAGTACCTTAATACATTTCTAGGTTGAACACAAGTAAAAGTCAAGAGCCTCTTTTGACTACCAAGATTCCTGCAAACCGCCATTTTAAGATGCCATAATGCTTACATGGAGTTGTTGAGAGCAGGGGAAATCTTGCAAAATTCACCCTTGTTCTTGATGCTATTTGGATGACTTAGTTGCTCAAAGGCAAGACACTTTTAAACCTTATTAGGACTCAAAGGAAATGAGTATGGATCAGGATGGAGCAATAGATTGCAGAGAACACTATGCCCCTTCAACAAAAATGGTTCTGACTGTGGAGAGAATAGGACAGTCTTCAACATTTGAGAAAAGCAAAGAACAGATACATGAATAATTCACAGCATCTAAATAAGACATTATAATTCAGAACCACCTCCATACCCACTAGCATCCACCCACAATCCCTAGCGTGGGCAAGGATTTCTTTTCCCTAATGGTCTTCCAAAAGATATCACAATACACCAAAGAGAAAAATAATCAGTATTGGATTATTAGTGCTCATAGTTCTCTTCTTAGTAGATAGGCAGTAATCATCTGTTTTTCGTTTTTCTTTGTTTTTCTTTCAGAAGTCTTTATCCCAGCCTGATAGCTCATCTGGAGGTATTCCCTTTTCAGGTGGATACTTGTCAAAGTAGCTGTGATCTGTGGGTCCACTGAGCTAATAGAGAAAGAATTAAAGCAAAGATGAGGATGATGTTGACTAAGTATGCTATTACATATGGGTAATGTTTTCATATCTGAACACAGATTTTAAACTGCAACTACTGGTAAGTTACATGTAAGATCCCAGCCTCATGGGATCTCTCCTTTGCACCAAATGGATCTTCTCACTGGATTAGACATTCAATGGAAGCTAACTGGCCTGATGAGTTATTTCCAAAAGAAAAAGTGACAGAAATGATGTCTATTTTTTTTACAAAATAAAAAATATCTTAAAATCAGAAACTTTAAAAAATCAAAATTGGCCAGAATCTTTCTACTTTTTAAAGTTTCTCATCAACTTTGAATTTTTATATGGTTAACTGACCATAAAATATTTCCAGAACGCCAAACAAAGGAACAATTCAAAATATTATTGATCCCGTTGAAAGAGTGAAATGGCTCTTTTGCAAATTAAGTGGTTTCCAATTCTTTGCTTTCTAACAAATGTAAGTACCTAGTTGAACTATCAGCGGATAGATCATTAAAAATACTATTTATAATAGAGCATAACGTGTTTTGGGGAGGGTGTAATGTATTTATTTAAGTGAACACAACTCTTAGCACTTGCATCTTTTTAAAAGGAATAAAATTGATGTGGAGCCTAAGTCCATTTTTTAAATAAATAAGATTTATCCATAGGCACATTAAATATTTTCTTTATCAAAATAGTTTAATAATTATTTTAATTTTTCTAATATATTTATATTGTTTGATACTGCATGCTATAAAAATGTAATTATAACTGAATCCGGAAGAAATATCTGTGTTTTTACAGAAATTTTGGTGGTCACAGGAATTTTAAAATTTATAAAACTATAATGGAAAGGCATTGAAAGAATGATTGATTAAAGGTTGCCAATGCCCGACTGCCGTGGCTCAGTGGTTGAGCATCAACCTATGAACCAGGAGGTCACAGTTCAATTCCCGGTCAGGGCACATGCCTGGGTTGCGAGCTCGATCCCCAGTGTGGAGCATGCAGGAGGCAGCTGATTGATGATTCTCTCTTATCATTGATGTTTCTATCTCTCTCTTCCTTTCCCTTCCTATCTGGAACCAATAAAAATGTATTTAAAAAATAAAATAAAAATAAAGGTTGCCAAGCATAAAACTATTTTACATTAGAATGAAATTTTGAAGGGAAAATAAAATGGAAATGTGGAAATATGAATTCAGAGAGAATAATATTTCTGTCTGTATTTTTTAATGGCTGGTATCAAATCTCAATGATATGGTAGATATATTTAAAGGGATACAGTAACAGTAGTGCTTTATTTTAAAATGTCAATGTTTTCAACAAACTAAAAAATTATATTCTCCATAACAATTTAAATATACAATAAAAAATTCAGATGTCAATCTAAAAATATACAAGGGGAGATGTAGATCTTCAAAATTCCTCAGAGAGAACACAGCATAAAGTTTGTAGGGTATTGATCCAGGTCATTTTTGAGTCATTGTTTCCCCTAAGTTAGCAAATGTCCTGCTTTTTCTAGAGCTAAGCTGTCCAATCAGTCACCTGTAGTGACTGAGCACTTGAAATGTAGCTAGTCCGAACTGATGTGTGTTGAAAGTATAAAATCCACTTGGGATTACAAAAATTTAGTATGAAAAAAATAACTGTAACATCTTATTGATATTTTATGTTGATTACATGTTGAAGTGATAATAATTTGAATATTAATTAAAATTAATTTCACTGATTTCTTTTTACCTCTTTTAATATGGTTATTTGAAGACTTCAAATTACTTATATGGTTCATACTCTATTTCTAGAGCCATCTGTCAGTCTAACACTGACAACTTGGGCTTTGATTTATATGCAATTGCTTCCTGAGAGCTAAGCTAATGCTCATCAAATAGGTAATACTATTTAGTCCCTACAATCACAACTGTTATGACATTTTAACTTAAATTTTAAAAAAAACTATTTAAAAAATCTAAAATATGTTACACACATGCACCTAAAACCTGTTTACAAAATCAAATACCTACAAAAAATTATGAGAGCAATATAGTGGATACCATACCTCTCTTCGTAAAGGTGATGGAAGGTTCCGTGCTTTCAGTCCCTCCCAATTAAAACCACTTAACCACCTGAGAAATGAGAAAAGTACAGAGAAATGTTACTTGCTTGAAAACTATTAGCATGACAGTTATCTATCAAGCCATTTTGTTGTCTGCTCCCTGCCAGCAATGTGGTCGGAGGGAAATACTGGACCGTGCTGGTTGTCTGGTCTCACATTAAATCGGGGTGGGGAACGTCCGATGCCTGGGCCATGTTGTCCTGCAAAATCATCTGGTCTGGCCTTGCCAAGGCAAGCGCAGGCAGAACTCGAAATTCAATAAATCTAGGAGCTTTTTCATAGCAACATAAATTTATATGAAGTGAATTATATTAAGTGAATGATGTTATAAATATCCAAACGGCCTGTGGCAGAAAAAAGGTTCCCCACCCCTGCATTAAATCCATGCCCACTAACCCCAAGGAGCACTTGATGCTGCCCCATAATCAGTCTAGATTTCCCTGTTGTCCTACTCATTGTCGCACTGCCATAGATTCATAATTGACACTTTGTTTTCTCTCTTCAAACTTCCAGGATCTCCTCCCACCCTCACTCCCAAATGATGAGAAAACTGAAGCAAAAAGAGAACGTCCACAGTTTTCCACCAGCGTACCTGCCTACCTACTCACTACTGTATGTTCCCTTCTCTCCAGTACCATGGATTAGCTGCCTTTGCTCCTAGCTAAGGCCAACTCCTCTTCTGTGTACTTGATCTTGTAGACTCTTTATTCAAAGTCATGCTCCTGCAATGCTCCTCCCTCCTGAGTCTGCAACATCTTCTCTGCTGGGTCATTCTCATCAGAATGGAAACATTTTATTTCTTCCAACTACAAAACACTCTCTTTTGACCTGCGCTCCCTTCCAACTCTCACTCCATTTCTTTCCTTACACTTGGTGGAAAGCTCCTTGTAAGAATTATCTAATCACTCTACCCATTTTCTCCTGATCACACTACGATCAGATTTCACCACCTCCACTCCATTGAATAGTGACAGTTCTCAGTTTTCATCTTATTTAACTTGTTAGACGCCTTTGCCACAGTGTATACTCACACTCACACTCCCTGAAACCCCCCTGCACTTGGCTTCTGGACATGCTACTGTCCTGACTTTCTTGGGTGCTTTCCATCATTTCCACTGCTATTTCCACAGGAAGTTGGTGTGATCCCAGGCTCAGTCCTTGGACTTCTTCTTTTTTCAATACTCTCACTTCAGTCTTGTGGTTTTTGATAGCATTTAAATACTGGCTACTCCCAGATTTCTATTTCTAACCAAGACATCTCCATTGCTTTACAGACTATTAGCTACAACAGCTATTCATCATCTCCCAACTCATGTCTTCCAGGCATCTAGCATGTATCAGACCCACACCGGAGCTCCCAATTTCCCCCAACCAACTTGCCTTAACTCTTCCAATTGCTTAAACCAAAGATCTTGGAGTTGTCCTTTCTCTAAAACCCTACCTCAGTCTATAGGCAAATCTTGTCAGTGTTACCTGTAAAATATGCCTGTATTCAGAACATGACAAATTCTCAACACATTCCCACTACCTGCACAGGCCAACCCACTATTATTCCTTGCTTGTATTATTACAATAATCTGATGGGTCCTCCTGCTTTTGTCTCTGGGAAACAACCCAGTAACAAGAGTGATCATTTAAAACATAAGTCAGGTCTCATTATGCTTTTGTACAAAACTCTCCAATACTTCTCAATTCACTCAGTGTGAAAGGCAAAGTCTTTACAATGCCTTTGCTATAAGCCATAAGGCCTTACAAAACCACCCTTTCCACTACCACCTGTCTTTCACCTTACCACTGTCCTGTGTTTCTCTTCTCTCTTCCTTGCTCATTTATCTCCTCACCATTGTTCCAATAAGCTGATGCTCCTACTTTAACCTTTGCACTTAAGACCCTCTGGCTAGATTGCCTTTTCCCCCAAATTTCCACATTGTTTGTTCCCTCAACACCTTCAGGTCTGTTCTCAAAGGTCATCTTCTTAGCAAGACCTTTTTTAGCCATAAGTCTAATATTGCAAGCCTTTTCCTATCCCAACCTCCACATACTTTCTATTCCCCCTTCTCTGCTTTATTCCTCCTCCATAGAACTTACTGCTATCTAATGATCCACTATATATTATCCTATTAAATAAAAGCCTAATATACTAAGTGTCTGGTTGTCCAGTTTTCCTTTTAACCAATCAAAGCCTAATATGCTAATGATATGCTAAGGCCACTCAACTGCTCGCTATGATGTGCACTGACCACCAGAGGGAAGACAGTCAACTGGTTGACCAATCTCTATGATGTGCACTGACCAGCAGGGGGCAGATGCTCCAACAGGTAGGTAAGCTTACTGCTGGGGTCTGGCTGATCGGGACTGAGCGAGATGGGCCAGACATGCCCTGGAGCCCTCCTTCGGTCCCTCCCCGGCTGGCCAACTTCCCTCGTCCCTCCCCGACCTCGATCATGCAGTAGTCAGACATCCCTCTCACAATCCAGGACTGCTGGCTCCCAACCGCTCATCTGCCTGCCTACCTGATTGCCCCTAAACGCTTCTGCCTGCCAGCCTGATCACCCCCTAACCACTCCCCTGCCAGCCTGATCGACGCCTAACTGTTCCCCTGCCGGCCCGATCGCCCCCAACTTCTCTCCCATGCCAGCCCGATAACCCCAAACTGCCTTCCCCTGCCAGCCTGGTTGCCCCCAACTGTCCTCCCCTGCTGGCCATCTTGTGATGGCCATCTTTGACCACATGGGGGCGGCCATCTTATGTGTTGGAGTGATGGTCAATCTGCATACTGGTCATGGCTAATTAGCATATCAGGGCTAATTAGCATATCCGGTCATGACTGTGAGGGTGCCATGACCAATTTGCATATTACCCTTTTATTAGTATAGATAATACTAAGAAAATTGAAGAGAATAAAGTGATAGATAATGACTGGGATGGGGATGGGTTAGAAGAGGCTCTTTTTAGCGAGGGTGGTATTTGAAGAAAGGATATTTGAAATAAGGCCAGAATGAAAAGAAGAGGGAAGTCATAGGAAGATCTGGGGCAAGAGCCTTCCAGGTGGATGGAATGAGCTTCAGTGTAGTGAATTCAGGGGAAACTTAGGATAAAATGATGTGTGAAAAATGGCTAGAGGCCAAATCATGTAAGGCTTTGTAGGACACAGTAAGGAACTAGAGTTTTATGCATGACGGGAAGCCAATAGAAAGTTCTAAGTAAATTATATAATCTAGATGTATTTTCAAAAAATAATTCTGGCTGCTATGTGGAGAGTGGCCACAGGGGAGAGCATGGGACTGGAGTTGTGGGAGTGGGAGACCTTAGGAGGCTGTCACATTCCTCTGTCTGTTGGCCACACCAGAAATTATACTCTTTCACCTTTCTCAATCTCTCTCATCCCTGGAGTGGGTTTGGTTTAATCCTTGACTGGATTTCCCATTCCAAGTCTAAACTTAAGAAAAAGTACAAAAAAACACCAGAGAGGACAGGTTCTAGAACATTCCATTTCAGGTGCCATTCTTACCCCAAAGTGCCATTTTGGCATAAGCTACTGAGACACTAGTCAAAGAGTGGGAGTCAGACAAGCTGTACGGCTTCCCTTGTTCTTGCTACCAAACCACAGAAGTCCTTTCCTTGTTCCACCCATCAGCTCCTTTGCACAGACTGTTGGTCCATTTTAGGGATTTCCAGGCTCCAAGTTCTGTGGATTCTTTTCCTTTGACACCAAACACTGCCATAATTCCTTTTAACATATTTTACAATGCTCTCTTCCCAGAAGCTACTCCATAAATATTAACAAAAATCATTACTGTTACTCTACTGAATCAAAGAGCCTATGCATTTCTTGCTAAGTACTTGTTACAATTTGACTTATGGCAATATTTACTTGACATGAGTGGCTATTCACTTAACACTTGGCCTTTTGACACTAACCAAATTTTAAGTAGTGCAAGTGCCAGCATGTACTCATGTATGAAAAATATTCACCAAAGAAATATTAGCAGCAACAGCACATAAATTGCTTCTTCATTTTTAGAAGACTTGTTGAAGCTATTCTTGAGAGTAATTTTAAAGACTAGAAATAATAAAGGTAATGAGAAGACACTCAAAACAAATTATTCCTCTACCAACAGGAAAGATTTAATTGTACCCTACAAGTATATTATCTCTTTTCTCAAAGTGTTGGGAGACAAAATTGGTGCCTAGTTTTATAAGTTATTTCATAAACAGGGAAGGTAGGAACTCTATTTTTAAGAAAGATGATTAAAGACAACGGGCAAACATATAACAATATGCCATGTTTTACTGTATTGTTTTTAAATACAAAGTTAAAATTAATAGTTCTCTTAGAAAACAATAAAAGTTTTACTTTAGATAAGAATGGGAAAATCTGATGGCAAATTTTAGAAAGGTTTTTTTTACAATACTAGAGGCCCAGTGCATGAAATTCGTGCATGGGTGGGGGGGGATCCCTCAGCCCAGCCTGCACCCTCTCCAATCCAAGACCACTCGGGAGATGTCCAACTGCTGGTTGGCAGTCCTAAACCAGCAGTCGGACGTCACTCTCGCAATCCGGGACTGCTGGCTCCTAACTGCTCACTTGCCTGCCTTCCTGGTGCCCCTAACTGCCCTCCCTTGCCTGTCTGATAGCCCCTAACTGCCTCTGCCTGCCTGCCTGATCACCCCTAACCACCTCTGCTGCTGGCCTGGTTGCCCCTAACTGCCCTCCCTTGCCGGCCTGGTCACCCCTAAGCGCCTCTGCCTCGGCCCCCGCCACTGTGGCTTTATCCAGAAGGCTATCTGGATGGATGTCCTGAAGATGTCCAGTCTAATTAGCATATTACCCTTTTATTAGTATAGAAGATTGAGAATAAACTGGGTAGAGAAGCTTTGGAGACTTGTGCAAGATTTTAGAATAGTACTCCTATTTGAAGGAAGAGAGAGATCTATTTTTCAGGCCTCCCTCTCCCAACGTTTTATCTTATACAAAAAAACCACTCTGAAAGTAGCATAAAATAAGGTGGGGGTTTTTGTTGTTGTTTTTGTTTGTCTGTTTGTTTGTTTTTGTCCCTTTGGGCTTACCATAAGGCAATGTGTAAATCTGACACCTTTTACTAGTGAACTCTACCCTACACATTGTACTCTGACTCTACAGATATGTGGGAAAAAACCATCCTGCCTGTTAAAAAGAGTGAGCAAATTAATCCCTACAAGGAAAAAAATTCAAAACTCTTCATTACCATGCTAAGGTGAGAAAATGTTCTGGCATCAATTTGCATGTACGTCCAATCACAATTTGACAGCTACATTTAAATGAGCCTCAGGTAAATAAGAAAAAAAATAAAACTGGAGCCTATTAACAATTCTATCACTCTATTCCCCAATTATCCCAAAGAGAAACACAAAGATGCTTTTCTAATAGAATTATGAGGGAAAATATATTGAAAGGGTAATTTTAATTGGCAGAACACTTGTTTGTTCCATATGAATGGTGTGTTCATGTGTCATGTTATAATGAGATAGGAAGTTGTGATAATAGCTTGTAGGAAGAAAGATACATTGGAATCTAAGACAAGTAATAAACTTTACACTGAAGGTAATCCAAAGGATTACAAAGAACAATAAAATACTCTAAACGTTTTAATGTCTATAAAATCCACAGATGTCCCTCCCTACCTCCCTCCCTCCCTCCCTCCATCTCTCCCTAATTCACCCTAAAGGCAGAGCCCTCTATGAATTTACAATGTTGAATACATGGCATCATTTCAAGAAAGTTCATGAATAGATGGAGCAGGGCTGGCAGCTGCATCACCAATGTTAAGAAAAATGAATAGTGTTTTTATCCAGCAGCATTTCTCCCTTTATTTTCACACAGCGTTGATGTGCCCTTAATTCTTCAGTAAAAATATCCAGAGAGGAATGTGATATTGAGAGGTGTTTTCGTTTCTGAACGTGAACACATCAGTGTGCTCAAAGGTTTTCAATAATGAAATTCTCAAATTTATTTTTTGTACTAGCAAATAGGTGATGTATTATATCTGTAAATCATAAGCAAAATTAAAACATCTTGAGGATTAGAGAATTTAGCGAGGCATGGATTTGAAAAAAAAAATCTTAAAGGCTTGAACTTCCACATATGTAACCAATTAAGAAAGGCTGTCTCACGGAGTTCTCTACGATTCTAAAGGACAGATTTAGAAATTCACAGAACTGAAAAGGTCCGTGTGAGATTACTACATAAGGACAAAACATTGTTTTGGGGAAATCAATGTACTTTACCCAAACAGTGAAAAACAACATGAGGCTTCAGAATGTGGAAAGATGGTCAAAGGAAAATGAGATTTAAAATAAATGTATAATATTAATAAAAACTGAAATGCAGTACTGCTTAATGGTTAGTTTAGCTGACCCATTCTCTTGAATATTGACAATAACTATATTCTATTTTAATTACAAATCAAATGTGAAAATTAGAACAATTCATTTACAGAATCCAAGCTGATATTTTAAAAATAAAAATAAAGATTGCAGTGGATAAAAAACTAAGTTGTTATAACTTGAAGATGTGATTTTATAACTTGTGTTAAGCTTCATCCATCCATGATATGAATTTCCAGCATTAGAAAAGTCATTTTGAGACTGATTATTGTGACTGCATCTGGTAAAACACAAATTAAATATAAAGTGCCAAAAAGGAAAAACTGAGAGTCTGTAAAGGAACCCTTTGTAGTTTACTGAGAGAAGCTTCAAGATTAGCATAGTTTCCTATAAATTTCTATATTTTTCCGGGCAAAGAAGTAACTATGTACCTGTGTTTCTTAATGTCATTGATTCCATTCTTCAGATTTCCCAGCCTTTCTGTTGGATTTTGCCTAAAATAATAATTGTTAAAAGACAGTTTATAATCATTATGATTGAGTAAATTTTAAAATTTGACATTTCTTTATTCTTTCATTAATTTATTCAACAATATTCATAGACTAGGTATCTGGGTAGAGGGGGATAAGAAACACATGTTCTAGGGGAGTTACTGTCAAATTAGAGT